AAAAAACCCAAAGTGACCTTGAGCTAGGTCATCCAAATTAAATCTAAAGTAATCGTCAAGGTAGGAATCACATCTGATTTCAAATTACTACTACTTTTGTTTATAGCTGCAAGGAACAGAAAAATCAATGTTCTGTTCACAAATCAAGCCTTTCTGGCTTTTGCACTGTTCGATCGTCTCAAGACTGTAAGTTCCACTGGTAGAGAGAAAGGTACAGATTGAGGTCTCTACAACTTGGCATTTCATTCTCATCCACCTGAAGTTTAACCTTTTGTCCTGTCAAAGTACCAATTTCATCTGTAAACACTGCATGTTTCAACAAAACCTAGTGCCTCCTTGGTTTGCTCCGACACACGAAATAATGTCTTTTATGTGTGCCAGACAATCACGGCCAGGCAGAGAGGGCCGACCACCACGGATAATAGTAACAGGAAGTGACAACTTCTGGCTTCTTTACTGAACATTTTAACGTCCTCTGTGGCCTTAATGGGTAAAATTTCACCTGTGTAAGTTTTCAGTTCAGCACTTGCCGGTTTGACTGCAGACTTACGGGAGGGCCAAGTCTTGATGAAGGTCCCCTCACAAATTATGGTCATTGAAGCTCCGGTGTCCACTGATTGCTGATCCAAAAGCAAAGTGACTCTATATACATGGACAAGAAATGGCCATTGCATGCAAACAAGCTGCTATTGTTTCACCTGAAAGAAATCTTATGAAAATCAGATCTTCGTGCTCTGTACCATAGCAAGAACTAAGATCTGATTTTAATAAGATTGAGCTGAAAACGGGAAACTTTGATGCACATTTTCATGATGCACATTTTCCAATTTTTTCCATCAAGACAGGCATGTGAACGATGTTGGTTTCAATTCATTCCGTTTTAAGTCGTCTAAGGCGCCGCTATTCGCTGTACAGAGTTTCGTCCCTTGGGCACGCCAGAAACCTGTGATTGTGGGTTCGAAGCCTGGTTCACCTTGATTATGTTTCTAGGTTTGTCAGCGCGTCGAAGACCTGCAGCACTTGGACTTTCCTCCCACATTAAGCTGGCACGCCGTGATATAACTTGAACACTGTTAAAAACGGTTTAAACCCAACTCACTCACTCCAAGTGGTGACGTTATTACCACTTTTTTAAAACACCAGAGCGCAGGTATGGCGCAGATCAATAACACCAATCAGATTTGAACCGAAAATAAGTGCTCGGAGAAGCACGATGAAACTGACTGAAAGACAGTTTCACGTAACATGTACGGTTGTAGGCAATCCGAATCGGCACGTCATGCATGATAGTATGACTCTGAATGAATGCGAATGCAAAGTCCCCTATAACTCATGCTGACTGCAATGGGGTCGGTGGAAACAATGATTGCTGAGCATGAAACAAAGGGATGGGCGACTATGAAGACAGACACAACCGTAGCTAGGAGCTGACTGATTGTGTAGCATTGCACCACAATTTGAAGACTCTATACTCACTTGACTGGTCCAGAGTCGACTGCCTGCCTGCCGTCGTCTGTTAGCAAAAACACTACCCACTGTGCCATGGGGGACCATATTAGTGGTGGAATTATGATTTGGCTGATTGTGTTTGATCGTGCTCAGATGGCTGGAGCATCGTTGACGTTTCCAGCCTCTGGTGTACCTTGTCTAATTACACGTCGCACTGATATAGCTGGAATATTACTGATTTGGCGTAAAGAAGGAAAGGAGAGATGGAAAGAAGGAAAGAAAGAAGGTCAGAAAGAAGGAAGGAAGGAAAGGAGAGAACTAGAGAAAGAAGCAAAGAAAGAAAGAAAGGAAATAAGGAGAGAAGAAAAGACCTAAAAATATGGAAAGAAAGGAGGAAAGAAAGAAAGAAAAGCAGGAAAGAAAGAAAGGAGGAAAGGAAGAAGGAAGGAACGAAGGAATGAAGGAAAGAAAATATAATTAATCAACACGGTCGATGAGAGAAACTGTTTATTTTTTATGCTGGAAAATTATTCAGGCAAAATGTACAGTCATTCCTGACAATGAGTTCGTGATACAGGACGAAAATACTAATCTATGTTCATTCATGCACAATAACGAACTCTGAACACTCAACATAGCACAACATTCCCTTCCATGAGACACGAGGTATTGACAGAGATACATGAATACACGGTGGCAGCTCGGTATTGTAGGACTCGCTACAGCCGTGCGGGGAGATCTGTCAACTCCACCAACGTGTACCCTCTGAACCAGTATTTACACTAAGAAGTTATGAAATAAACACGTTGTTTTTGTACTTTCAAACAAATGTCACATTTCTATTCAAACAGGTGCCCAGGAAAACAGGTAATAAGATTACGAGATGCAAACAAGCAATAGGATTTGCTAGTTAACTTAATATATATATCTCAATTTTGTATTTTGACTTCATGGTTATTATTGTATCTGCTAGCCTACATTTGACAATACTTCAGAGGCGTATGCACTTGCGGTCGTGTCCCCTACAAAATTCGACAGTGCAGTTGTGCAATTGTGCAACTTAACGTCAAGACAAACAACAAAAACACTTGTTTCTGTGCAAAATGTATGCGTATTTTCCTATTTTCAGATTTCTACGTTTTAATTCTTAAGATTTCAATCTTACCATTTTATGGTCAGAGATGCTTTTTCTGCAACTTATATGAAACTAGTAGCACATATGTACCCCTATGGTAACGGTCAGTTGTTTCATGCTGTGGTCAAGCAGACCTACTGTGACAGATAGTTGCATTTCTTCCTAGAAATATCAACCTGTACACACTGATAAGTCTTTGCGTGTCAATCGTAATGGCAATGAAGCAATATTCGTAACCATTCGCATTCGGTTCGTCCCGGAATGGCACGAGGTGGTCACAAAAGAGAAACAAAGGGGTCTTCAATACTGAAATGTCTTCACTGCACTCTGAGGTACAAGCTGAGGCCAGGTATGTGCAGGCACTTCTTGAAATAAACGTTGGTCAATATTAAGACCTAAACACCGTACATTCAATATGATACAAATCACCTGGAAGCTTCTGAGCCTAGTCATTAGGAAAAAACACTTATTACTTACAACTCTGTCGGATTTTTGAAGATTCATTAAACGAAATGTGTCGATATTCTACACTCGGCCATTGATGCTGACACCAAAATATGGCAGTTGGCCTGAAACCCAGTGTGAGTGAATGGACCAGTTTGGTTAAGCGCTGTTTTCAATAGTATTTTAGTTGTATCACGGCGTGTCACCTTGTGGAAGGAAAACCCCAAAATACTTTTGTTTGTACCAATGAATATGATGAAGATTGATTTATGTTTAACATGTTCTTAATGTGATGATCCAAAGTGTCTCTATTTGCAAGTGGGTCATGTAGCTCACCTGCTGACGATGATGTACTGGCTACAGGAATTTCGACGATAATGACTGATACTTGTTATGTCATTTATTCACTCCTATTCCGAGGATGGGACGGATGACGCGCCCTTGTGTTAGCTCACCTGGACCTTCTGTCCAGTTGAGGTAAAGTGTATTGTCTGCTGGACAGGGCATCATACATACACATATACAATACCTACATATATACACACGAACTACTTAACTAACTGTACACGCTCATGGCTGATCATAAGCAATTGGCAATCAGTGATGGTATAGTATGTATGATATACATTGTGATTCGCGATATACAGACGGGTTTAACCGCAAAAGGCTGAAGGGGCCGTTGATGTACAGGCTACTATAGATACGTACCCAGATAGCTTTCTGTATGCTGAAATGTACCCTAAGCCAAATAAGAAAACGCAAACGTACGCCAGCTTGGCAACGTAAAGTACTGGTGCCAGGAGTCTGGTACACAATGCACTACTTTGTAGACATGCACGAGTCTATACCTCCTAACTGATCTCGCTTTGTGTGGAATTGACAGATTTCTTCGTACTGAAAGTACTTTGCCAAGCTGGAGTATATTTTAGTAGTCCGATTTCTAAGAAAATGTACATTTTTGGACTGGTAAGTTATTATAGGGGGTGGGGTGACGGTGGTCGGTGTGAGTGGTACTAGGGTTGTTTCATGGTTGTTTCATGTATTGCCGACTCGCCCATTTCTTCATCTGCGTAATATATTTTTCATGACACGTCCCTCTCCCTATGATAAATGACCAGTCTATAAATAATGTTACAATCCCAAAAAATATTTGAACAAATTATGACTGACATTGTATTAATGCACCCGCCCCCTCCTCACACACACACACGTGTGGACTAGATTACCAGTCCCATTATAACGATATAATCCTAAAAAATGTTTGAAAAAATCAGAGCTGTCATTTTATACATGCACCCCCTAAACCCAACCCGCCTCCACACCGCCAATACATGTAAAATGCACCCCCACCCCCATATCTAATTACCAGCCCCTTCAGAAGTATACAGAAAGCTCCCCGGGGTCCCTGGGGTACATACCTACAGTTCCCTATGTGACATTAACTCCATCTGCATAGTAACATATAGATTCTACGATTGTCTCTTCATAAACACAATACATAATTCATTTAGAAGTATTTCATACAGGCTAAATAGAGTGCAGACAATAACAGATATATCAACAAATTATACACATACACAAGAGTACACAATCATCATGCATCGTCGGCGTATAAACATCGCAATTCTTCCAAATCTAATCAAAGTCCTGTAAATGTTGATGCTGATTTATCCGGTCGAAACCGATGATCAAAATATTGGCTTGCCTCTCCGGATTATAACCTAACTGGTGGTAACTTTGCACTGCGCAGTCACCTTCAGTCTCTCTCTTCACTCATTCGTAGTCAGGGAACAAGTCAAGTGAGATTGATTAGGGAAGAGTGAGTGAGTGAGTTGGGTTTAACTCCGCTTTTAACAGTATTCCAGTTATATCACGGCGTGTCAGCTTAATGTTGGAGGAAAACCCGAAATGATGCAGGTCACCACTTCGGTGAAACCCACGAGCACGGGTATGGTGCTGACAAACCTAGAAACATAACCGGGGCGAACCTGGATTCGAACCAACAATCATAGGTTTCTGGCGTGTCCAAGGGACGCAACTCTGCACAGCGAATCGCGGCGCCTTAGACGACTGGGCCACCCGTGCCCCCTGATTAGGGAAGAAGAGGACAATACTGTACATCTATACTCCTTAAAGAAGTTGTTGCATGACAGATTTACTATAGTAATATTATATGAAAGAATCGGCTGGTCCTTAACTTCTTTTGGGTAGAATAAGTTGTGCTTCACACATCATGGTACGTGCTTTGGTATGAAGTTCGCTTCCATAAAATCAATACACAGGTAAGACAAGTCATCTGCGACAATGTTTCACGAAAATGCTATGTGATCAGCATCTGTGTGTTACTAAACTGTCGGGAAGACACTTGAAAATTAGATCTGACAAAAAAATTACAAACCTTATCAAAACGTTACTAGGCTGAATGCAGTAGCCGAAACACTGGAAAGTTAAGGTCCAAAACACAATTAGGAAACCCGTATGAAATACATCACCATCGATTAGTAACCATTCTTTGCATGTTTCATTTTACCCACTATTAAACAAGGGTGTGTACTTTCTTTTGTCCGGCACGCTACAACTGATGGACACAGTGCGAAATATACACAATAAGTTACAATGACATATATGATATATATTTCTGGTCAGTATGAATGAATTTTTTAATGCGTCAAACCATCAAAGCCACCAACAATGAAGTAATGAACATGTATGAAATCTGCATATCATACTTACTGATAATACTAACTTAGATAGTTTTTTATATATAATTATCATACACCGCACATGAATATCGGTTTTTAACACTCAACGCTATCATCCTGCAGGAGACCTGTGCACGACACGATGAAGCATAACCACTCGTTAGTTTGTTGAACGTCACATGGTTGTCGGAAGGCACATCCACACCCACACAATCCGAATCAGGAATATAAGTTAATGCTATCCAGACAACGGAATAGTAAAACAAACTTAGTATTCCGGAATAAGGTAGAGGATTAAGCTGGTTGGAATCAGTATTAATCAGCACTCATTCCGGAAAGTTATAATGACAACAGGAAACAAATTGCATTTCCGCATATGTAGTTCGGAATCGGGAACCTGGCGTCAAACAGTGAATGAAAACCGAAATTGGAATCCTTTCAGTTCAGACATCAGTTTGGACTTCCGGTGTAAGCGGAAGTCACCAAGAGGACCAGCAGACCTTGGCGATGTCTCTCCGGCCAATCAGGAGGGTGTTCTTGCGAAGTGTGTGGTATGTATGACTGTCAGTGCCGTGTTCGCTCATAGAAAACTGGACTTTTCTTTGTTGTTTGTTGTGAAATCGGGTTTATCCTTCAAGGAAAACAAAGAATGTATTTTAAAATATTACACACCAGTATAAGAGAGAGAGAGAGAGATAGAGAGGGAGAAAGAGAGAGAGAGAGAGAGAGAGAGAGCGAGAGAGAGAGAGAGAGAGAGAGAGAGAGAGAGAGAGAGAGAGAGCGTGTTACTTACATTTGGGTTTGATGTTGCTAGAGCGCCGATTACAGAGGAGAGATTGTTGAACACAGAGTCCGGTGTACAGAGGGTGACGACTATTCACAGGCTGGTACAAAGTAAGTGACGAATATTGAGAGACCGGTGTAGAGAGGGTGTCCATATTGAGAGACCAGTATAGAGAAGATGACGAATATTCAGAGGCTGGTATTGAGAGTGTGACGAATATTCAGAGGCTGGTATAGTGGTAGTGGTGAAAATTCAGAGGCTGGTATAGCGAAAGTGACGAATATTCAGAGACTGGTAAAGAGAGAATGACGAACATTGAGAGGCTAGTATTGAGAGTGTGACGAATATTCAGAGGCTGGTATAGACAGAGTGACAAATATTCAGAGGCTGGTAAAGAGCGTGGCGAATATTCAGAGGCTAGTATAGAGAGAGTGACGAATATTCAGAGACTGGTAAAGAGAGAATGACGAACATTGAGAGGCTGGTATTGAGAGTGTGACGATATTCAGAGGCTGGTATAGACAGAGGGACGAATATTCAGAGGCTGGTAAAGAGCGTGACGAATATTCAGAGGCTGGTATAGAGAGAGTCACGAATATTCAGAGGCTGGTAAAGAGAGAGTGACGAATATTCAGAGGCTGGTATAGGGAGAGTGACGAATATTCAGATATCGATGCAGAAAGGGTGTCGAATATTCACAGATCAGTATAGAGAGGTTCGCGAATATTGAGAGGCCAGTGTAGAGAGAGTTGATCACGGAGTCGCCTGTGTCTTTACCTTCCTGTTGGTCTTGTTGGCTTTGAGCAGCAGGTTGGCGGAGTACTCCGCGAGACAGGCCAACCCTGCGATCACAATACCGCCGACCAGGATGAAGAAGACGCCAGCGACGTTCTCTATCTGGAGCTCTGACGTCTCATCCGACGACGACTTGGCGGGGTCCGGACAGCTCCTGCTTCCCCACCACCTGGATCACGGGAAGGAAAAGAACACAACTGAATGTAAGACTTCAGTCTGTCTGTTTGTTGTTTAACGCCGCACTCAGCATTATTCCAGCTATATGGCGGCGGTCTGTAAATAATCGAATCTGGATCAGACAATCCAGGGATAGACATTAAGCATCGATATACGCAAATGGGATACGATGACATGCATCAACCAAGTCAGCGAGCCTTACCCCCCGATCCCGTTTGTCGCCTCTTACGACAAGCATGGGTTGCGGAAGACCTTTTCTACCCCGGATCTTCACGAATGTAAGAAGTACACTTCAACCCTAAAGTGACGGGTGACGGCTTTCTGTCGCTTCCGGTGGTATTAGGCCACACCACACCGAGTGACACCAACAACTGGGTTCACACATTGTACCCTTATGGGGATTCGAACCACGGTCGTATGTCACAAATGGCCACCCTCCGCCCAGCATTCTATTATTGATACACTGGAGATGAAGAAACACTTGGGACTGGAGACCTATTTCCATCACACGACAAAAACAGTTCTTCCTTCCAAGGCATGTCAAGCACACGTTTGGGAGTATAACAATGTCAGAGCACACTAACAAATATTTTGATTCATCTGAGTTTATGTAAATGCAAACACCAGACGTCAGTAGGGGATGTGAAGAAATCTAAACTGGAAAGCGATCATTAGTGAGTGCAGTCCCTTGAGCTGAATACGTTGACGTCATGGCGAATACCGTTACAGTAATCACTGGAGTGGGCCCTAGGGAAGACCGTGTGTTTGTATATTAGAAAACCGCACTGCAGTTTTACGTAGTGTTAGCATAGTGCAATAAAATTGGTTCGTGAACCATATGCCAATTAGCTGGTGTATGCAGAATTGACTGGGAGGCTGACAACGAAGGCAATAACTGCATTCAATGTAGATGATGTCTCTTCTTAGAACAGATACCAATGCAGTATTGCCATCCGTTTATACAAGAATGGATTCGGTGATTCACGCGTCAGATTTCGTTTATGGAATTTGTGCTTGGGGGGCATCCATTTTATTCCTATGGAGGGGACGGAATTATCGTTTCAGAACAATCTTTTTTTTCACAGTTGTATCCTACCGAGCAGCATCAAACAATGTATTCGTCTTCATTATCAACACACAACATAATTACGTTTGGTATTCCACAAAACTGTTCATATTGCTTTCACCACTGCTAACAAACTATTCATTTTGGGCATATTTCTGAACAAACTAAATTTCCCCACCTTCAATTGAAATCCAATGGACGCTTCCTTACTTATTTTACTTCTTACAAAGGGACTGGTACCACGAGAAATACTCCCAATTATCTGAACCGGAATATTGCACAAGGCGGGGTCAACCCCATCTCACGAATTCACTCAACACTACTGCTACTACATACATGCAACCTTGATACTGCTACATTCACAAATACATATGACACTGAAGCTGCAACCACCGCCTCCTTTACCACGGTTACGACCACGACTACTGCTACTTCTAGCGTCACCACATGTTCCACAACGCCTAATCCCCCAAATCAGTAAAAATGGTGTTTGTTGTTTAACGTCGCTCTCAGCAATATTACAGCTCCATGACAGCGGTCTGTAAATAATCGAGTCTGGTGAAAAACTATCCACTCCGTCAAGGTACGACGATAGCACTCTTCTGAGTCAGCGACCCTAACCGCCCGACCCATTTGGTCGCCTTTTACGACCAGCATGGGTTGCTGGGGAACTCTTTTAAGATGGTATCCCGACTGGTACCTCAGTTAATAGATACTGCTTCTATAACTACTTATACTCAGACCATTCCTTTCTAATCGGTACTTAACAGCACCCATACTCACTTATTCTCCAATTCATGCAGTATGCCACTATCGCTGAGCTTCAGTATAGTCATGGAGAGTTCGTCCAGATAAGTCGCCCCTGGTGGAACCCCAATCCCAAAACCCTTCGGGTCAAACGGCGGTCCTATCTCCATGACATCGCAGTCTGTGGTTGTCTTATACTTGTTGACTGTAGTGTCCCAGAAGAAGGCATAGTTCCCATCCGTCACCTTGCCATACCCTTCGGTTGTATTGTCCACCATGGAGTCGGGTTCAATCTCCGACATCTGGGCCCACATCTTGGAAAAATGTTCAATGTTTGTGTTCGCAAAGAAGGACATGACGCCACTGTTCTTGACCGTTCCGTACTTGATCTTGGTCTGTTGGGCCAAGTCTGTGACAGATTTGATTGGTGTGTTGATCTTCTTGACCGTGAGGAAAGCTGCAAGGTTGGCGGTGTAGGAAGAGATCAGGATGAGGGCGAAGAACCACCACGAGCTGGTCAGGATACGTCCTGGGATTGTGATCGGACAGGCGTCGGTGTTACCTTGGAGCAGGGAGCCGAATATGAACCAGAAACTCTCCCTGACAGAGATCTGGGGATTGGTTCTCTGTTTGGTGGAGCCGATTCTCTCCAACATGTACAGGACGAAGCTGACAACGACAAAGGCGGCGAGGGTACAGCCCCAGACGGTGAGGGACAAGGGGTTGAGGAACTCGAAGTAGGACACCTTTCTCTGGGGGATCTTGAGGATGACAGTGATGTACCGCGTCATGAATGGCTTGGTGAAGTCAACGGCCTCCTCGCGACCGGAATTGATGCTGAGGGGCGCCACCGACATCGTCGCTTCCTGGAAATATGGTCATATTTCGAGTTTATTAATATTATCATATTTAGGAAGGATCTGTTTTGTACAGTACGTTTCTAACACACAGGCGAATCATTGCCTGATTGTATTTTTGTAACTTAACAATTTTTAATTAGTTTAAAGTGGTCGTGGGTTCGAATCCCAGATTCATCGAAATTATGACCTTTGATTGATGAGCAACATAACAATGCTCGTGAATTTCATTAAAAAGGTAAATATGAAAAAAACCAACTTGCATCATTTCTCCCATATTGAGATGAGACTTAATACAACAGATTTTACTGTTCAGATTGGCGTTAAGGATAAATCGCTCACTTGGATATGATACAAATGAAGATATTTGATAATATACTTTTGAGCTCACGATTTCGACCGACATAAAACAAAATTAACCAACGCTCTCTTCTACTTCATCATCTTTGTCGTGGGAACCGAGTGTTTCTTGGTAGCATTAATATCTCACCCCATCCAGCAACTCTTTTATGATGCCATTCCACTCCCCATCTTTCTTGGTGCCAAAGTTCCCATCAGGAACAAGGTAGATCTCAAAGTTGAAACTCTTCGCCTCAGCCACACGCGCGAGCAGGTCGACGGCAAAACCCTCAAAGCGATCGTTGCCGCGTCTCATGAGATAGTCCCTCTTAAACATCGTGAAGGGCTGCTCCTGAAACATGGGAAGAGGGGGTGGTTGTACGACCGGTATTTAATAACAAAGAGCAACCTTCTGAAATCTGTTTCATTTCATGCATGTGAAAACCCATGGAGATTCTGAGAACATTGGTCCCCAGAAATCTAATTTGCTTGTCTGAGAGGCGACTAAATGGATCTGGTGGTCAGGCTCTGTGACTTGGTTAATGATTGTGGTGTCTTCACTGCTCAACCTTGAAAAACAAAAGCGCATACAACTCTCGCTCAAAACTTTGACCGGGGATTCAACATTCAAGGCCTCAGTAAAGCATTCAAAACGTTTTATGAAATGAGGGAGACATTACCAAATTTGACGCATCAGTGACCAAAACGATGTCCGATGCAATTCCCTATTTTGACTCATACCAAATGCTTTCTCGTTTGTTCAGCCAGAGACTATGGTCTCAGGACCAGGTGAACACTTCCCTTGACTTTGCATGTGTTTGTGATGTGTGATTTCCAGTGATTATGGGAAGGATTTTGTCCCTTTTTTATTGCAAAATGATGAAACAAAAACTAACTCCTAGTATTTATAGACTCGAATCAAGCTTGCACCAGCTGCATCACGACTACCGAGGCCCATCAACCCTTTAACAGAGATAAGCATCGGAGATCATTAAGATCATTTTGCGGAACGGGGCCCTTGTGTCATGGTCTGCCTGAACTACACCACGGCCGTTCGCATATGTCCCGTGGTACCTCGGCTTGGAGAGGATCACCCCGAGCACTCTGGTGTTTGTCCCACTGTAACTGCGGGGGCCGGGTTAAAAGAGTTCACCAGCACTATAGATTTCTGGTCTTAAGATGCGACCAAATTTGCTCTGTTGGTCTGGCTCGGTGTCTTGAGTACCATTGTACCGCGTGAAATGTTGGTCATGCAGTCAATCATTGTTCGTTTATAAAGGAAAATAATAAATCGCGGTAATCTTTTGATGCAAACATTTTTGTTTCAGTTGTTAGAAAAAACTGTTTCAAGTTGTTGTTTTTTTGTTCAATTGTTTTTGGCCCCTTTTAATAAAAACGGTATCTGGTTTTGCAGCTGTAGTTGAAAAAAAATATCTAGTCCCCATGAAAAAAATTCATTTATTCGAATATCCGTCGTGATACAGTCCCGAGACTAATTGCGTCAACAAACACTGAAGGAGTCACACAGTGCCGCCAACGTAATAACTGTTTTGTGAACGTGATATTCATCTGACAAATGCAAAATATTAGTCATCTCCCGTAACCAGACAGATTGCATAGCAAACATTGCACAATCTGTTAGTAGAAGTGCCTCCATTTATGACTTACGATTGATTATAATTACAATCAAAGAGTAATCAATGATTTATACAGTTGGCCGTTAGCGGAGGCAGTCTTTGTCCCAGATGAGTTCTGCTGCCATGGGTATTTGCTTTCTAAGCATTGTATTTCGTTATATTTGATAATGTTATTTGTACTGATTTTTTTCTACATGAAAGACTTCCTCTGGCTCGTTAATATCAATTAAGGTCCTGAATTTCAGACATTAAACATTTTCAACAAATGGTTTGTCGAATCATCAAACGACTTGTTTGCTTCATAAAACATAATGATTTGTCAATGTCGTATGTAAACACACTTACTCATACTGAAAGTCATTGAGCAAGTTGAGCGTGCATTTCTATGTTGCCATGGATTGTATATACGCCAAAGTATTACACATTGTTCATGCATTGGTGGTCTTCATGGGTAGGAAAAACACATCTTTCGCATAGATGTAGAAACAGTTAAATGTTTAATTATTTGTTTGTTGTTTAACGCTGCACTCATCCATATTCAAGCTATACGACAGCAGCCTGTAAACAATCGAGTCTGGACCAGATAATCCAGTGACTGATATTACAAGCAACGATCGATGACGTCGGGGGACGGTGAAGCTCCATCAGCCAAGTCTCCGAGTCTGACGGACCACCCGATCCACGACTGCTTGTATTGTCACAAGTCTCCGAGTCTGACCGACCACCCGATCCACGACTGCTTGTATTGTCACAGGTGTCCGAGTCTGACCGACCACCCGATCCACGACTGCTTGTATTGTCATAGTAAACAACTTGATAGCCTTCGAAGCGAGGTGGTGAGATCAGCTGATCGTTCATTCCAGGTCGCTTTCTTGACGTTTTGCAATCGGTACAAGTGTTACCCTTGAAGTCTGAATATCTCACTTTTAAAAATGAAGTATGGTTTCATGGTATAGGTATGAACACCAACATGTATGTTGTATTATCGTCGACCAGACTATATACATACAGTTACGTACAGCGGCTGAGCAATGCGGTAGTCATATAACAATGAGAATATGCCACGGAATATGACACGGATTTGAGAATATGCCACGGATTTGAGAATATGCCACGGATACGAGCATATGCCACGGATACGAGAATATGCCATGGATTTGAGACCCGACATAGATCTGAGTCCTACATAAATGTTCCCTCTGAGGTTGGGGAAGACTTAAGATTGCATTGCCCACTCTTCAATTCTATTCAGCAATAGTCTTTCCAACAGTTTACTTAAGCCTGGAGTTAAAGGGACCATCTTTACTCTTACCATGACCTTTATGGAAAGGTAAATGTTTTCCCCAAAGGAACATTTTTGGTATGTATAACAATTTCATTATAAAATGTAACAAGGTGATGATTAATAGATCTACCAGAGTATTTGATATGGTCATTAACTACACCTTCGGGACAAGGCGATTTTCCGCTTTTCAGACGTTCTGGAATTGTCAATAACTCATCCGATGTGAACGGACACAGCGCCATGGAACTGACGTCACTCTCCCCACGCTTATGACATGAATCGTTTTCAATCTGTTCATTATGAATATTAACATAATCAGTAAAATCAGAGTCAAAACTGATATCGTGATCTGGCACTGACAAATCTTTAAAATATTTGGCAAACAGATAACAGGTCCCTTCCTCTGTAGTCTGTCTTACAGACCCTGATATAAAAATATATCAAATACAGCCCATGCAAGTCTATAATGTTTGGCAAGTCTAGATTACTGCAGTATCTGAAAATGAAGAGAGTAACTGGGCTCCCTTTTATTATATTTTTATTAAGATAACCGAACAACTGTTTTTTCTGTACGATATGTTCATTTCAGAGACTAGATGTTAGTCTACATTCCTCTGTATGACAGGACTCTTCGTTATACACAGGCCGTTATTCACTCGCTGAAGTCTCAGTGACAGCGACTCATAATGATTAATGTTTAATATAATTACATTAATAATATAACATTACATATAAAAAATTTTATGGACTTATATCCTTCTTTAATTACTCATAATTGTCTAACGAAGTGTCACATGAGAACATAATTGGGTAATCAAATCACAGATCTTGATAACCAATCATTTGCTAATTACATTACAGTAGAGGTCATCGTCAGCGTGTTGTCATATTACCCAGTAATTATCAGTAATTAATTGCAATTAAGCCTTGACCTTGGTGTGTATCATGATTCAATCTCACCCGCAGGTTTAAGCAAAGTTTAAGCAAGGTCACCCCGATAAGACTGAAGTTCAAGACTGTCTATATAAGGCTGGTCGTATCAGTGTGTCTATATAAGGCTGGTCGTATCAGTGTGTCTTTATCAGGCTGGTCGTATCAGTGTGTCTATATAAGGCTGGTCGTATCAGTGTGTCTATATAAGGCTGGTCGTATCAGTGTGTCTATATAAGGCTGGTCGTATCAGTGTGTCTATATAAGGCTTGTCGTATCAGTGTGTCTATATAAGGCTGGTCGTATCAGTGTGTCTATATAAGGCTGGTCGTATCAGTGTGTCTATATAAGGCTGGTCGTATCAGTATGTCTATATAAGGCTTGTTGTAATCAGCGGTTCTATAAATCTGGTTGTAGTTTATAACTAAGATGGCGGCCTACATGAAACCACAAGCGGTCGAGAGCTTCAATGCCCGAGGTCATTGGGCATATTCTCTCCAAATATTACATGACCTTGACCTCATGGCGACGCTGACCATGACCTTTAGCTGTCTCCAAAGTTACTTACAAGAATCATGACGACCTTGACCGTTCGACCTTTAAGAGGGAAAATACGTCTTCGCTTTGGGGGAGCTTGAGACGTGTTGAGGAGAAGGTAACTGTGGGATGAGCGCTTCATCCATTCCCCGTGCTGCAATCAAAGTGAGGGCTCATTTATTAATCTTAATCAAACAAGACAGGTTAAAAAGACAACGTACTTAAAACATTGGCGTGGGAGCACATATAATAATTACAATTCACTTGCATCTCTTCATTACCTGATGCCAAAAGCCACTTTACCACTTCACCTTAATATATATTGCCTGAAAAATGAGACTCTTTTCGACAAATTGACCAACATTGATTAGACTCCTTAATTTAATCTCTTTATTTGAAGTTGGTCCTGTTGTGATGTTACGAAGATCAAAGTATCTTCTGTAAGAAATTGAAATGTTTCCACAATTGATTGGTTCTTCAAACATGAAAGAATACCAATGAGTACTTTTTTATGTTACTTATTGGAAGAATGTAATGTGAACAAATATATGAATTAGATTACAGTGATATTGTTTGAATATAATTTTTCGCGGTTGTTATATGTGAACAAATATTTCATCAGCCTAAATTTTAATAATTCTTGTTGTCACTTGACTGGTTTGTGGGAGAGCACTCTGCAATGAGATCGTCTTCAGGCGCAATTCTCTCGAGAAGTTCTGTTAAATTAGTAAGGAATTGGAACGAAGTACCAAACAAGGCTTTGTATATTGATTGTTTGATACCAGTGATTGGTCTTGTAACTAACAAGCCAGCCTGTCGAGTCATTGCCCCCAACCACGCAGTGAGCATGTCCTTAACGTCACATTTTAACGTCAACTAAACCTTGACTTTGTGGCTGGATGGGCTTCCCTTGGACCATCAGAAGGTCATGCCAAAGATGATTGAGGTCAGTGATAACAGATGCAGTAAATACGCTAGCATCATCACTCTACAAAATCTGAGGTGCGCCAAGCAATAAGAAAATGTCCATCAGCTGAAAGCCAACCACTACAGCACGTTCAGATGTCAATGGACACACAATGCCTTATGAGATGGTCCTGATATATCATTATCCACTTGCATGAGCCATTACCCATCCACTGGATGTCGACAAGGTCGACCTGACCTCAGATCCAAAGTCCTTGGACAGGATGGGTTTAAAAACTACGCGCTTTATTGTGATGCGTTTGACATTCAATGCAAAGAGATGTTTACAGTTCTACCACCCCGCGAGTCATATTAGCATACTTAGTCCATGCTTTCAACATTTTGTCACGATCACCATGACCAGTTGAAACGTGACCTCTCTTAGTGATGTCAAACATCGTCGATATGTGTGAAGTATATGTGTTCTTGAACACTGTCATTGTGTAACGAATTAACTTTTAATATCACATCACTGGAGACTTTCACACCGGCCATAGATGTAATACTGACGAGGGTACTTAATGTCAGCAGAACAAGCTCCTTTGAGTTTTTTAAGTAACGCAAAAATATTCGTTCTTGATCAATAATAAGGACTTGTTGTCAGACTTTTTTTTCCGACAAATGTGCAAGAGACGAAGCTTCCATTGAAGCAACCATTTCAAAAGTTGACAGAGCAATGGTATAGTATTACTGTCCACTTTATTTATAGGTCACTGTCACTTATTGTTTTGATATCATGTAACAATTGTACTTTTCTAGCTTCTAGTCAGGTAAGTTGCATTGTTGAGGAGACTGTCACTACTACCTATTATCTGACTAATTACCTATCTTGCTTCTAATCTGTTTTACGTTTAAATTTATTAAGAAAACAATCGATAATAAATGATATCTTAACATTTGTTAACATCAGATTGATTCCAGTATATTGTGTAAACTACATATTGATCCTAATTAAAATGAGGAGACTAAATTAAGGAGTCTAATTCATTTCAGTCAGCCTGTCTAAAATCCAGTATCTGTTTTCAGGCAATATGTATATTAATGACTCGTTGTGATGGTGGTGATCATGCGTGTGTGCGTGGTTGTGTGGTTGTATGTATGTTTGTGTGTGGTTGTATGTGTGTTTGTGTGGTTGTGTGTGGTTGTATGTGTGTTTGTATGTGTGTTTGTGTGTGTGGTTGTTTGTTTCGCTGTGTGTGTGGTTGTTTGTTTCGCTGTGTGTGTGGTTGTGTGTGTGTGTGTTGATGATGGTTGTAGGTGGGGGGTGTATGTGTGTGGTTGTGTGTGCGCGTGTGTGCGTGTGTGTGTGTGTGTGTGGTGATAATGGTTGGTGCTGGTGTTGGGGGTGTATGTGTACAAGGCAACGGAGGCGATCCCATACCAAAGCGTGGCCCAGTCGTCTAAAGTGGCGCAATTCTCTGTACGTGCCTGGAACATGCTATAAACCTTTGGGCGTGAGTTCGAACCCCGGTTCGTCCTGATTATGTTTTAGTTTTTTAGCCCTATAACCGTGCTCGTGAGTTTTACCAAAGCGGTAAACGTCTAATGCCTGCGTCATTTCGGGATATATACCCACAGTATGCTGACACGCCGTGATATAACTGAAATAATGTTCAAATCGGCGTCAGACCCAACTCACCCACTCACTAATGAAGATCCATTTGGAATTTTGAAATCATCTTCTTCGGACCTGCAACACACACCTACAAAACCGCACCATGTACCACTACTAACATTGCCGGGTAAGCATTTACAGAACGTTGCACAATAGAGATGTGAAATTTAGCGTCTGTCGATAATTACGTAAATAAGCGGAACACTTCATGCAACGATTAAACAAAGCGCTTAAGTTTTGTTTACCTGATACGTTGGAAGATTTTAGAGAAAGCGTGACATTGACTCTAACACTGAGAATAACTATCCTATATGCCTGAGGTTCCAAGGAAAGCAAAACATCAACCGTTCCTATGATGAGTACACAAAAGATGCGATACTTCAATGAAAGAATTGAATATCAATGAAAGCCATTACATTACTTGGAGAAAACTGGACAACATCTAACGAAAATACTATTGAAGCACAAAGACGTCTGAAAAATCGATGATTTCATTATATAACAATTGCACGACATGCAAAGAATATTTATTGATTGAAATTATTTTAAGTATTCATGAGCAATCCCAATAGTTTTGTGATGAATTGTCTTTAAACATTGAAAATCGCTTGAAACAGGTCACTGGTAGAACTGTTTTAAGTCACGGTTAGGTGATTATAAACAAGGAGATCGAAGATATCGATACCACATTCAATCAACATCATTAAAGTTTAAGAAGAAAGTATCATTAATCGAAGGTACTCCTTATGTTGTAAGCAATCTATTTGGACATTGATCTTTAAGGGAACATGCAGGTGTCTCGTGTTTAAAGTCGAATGATACATTGGAATGAATATTCTATAGATGTGGCACGGCCTTGAACCTGACCTTCTTTCTTCAAATGAACCATGGGACACCAGTATGTAGTTACTGGATTATGTAGTGTGTATACATGCATTAATATGGCGCAGATGGCCAGTACAATTGTACACGTGGAGGACGCCTCAGTTAGCAGTTAGTTTACAAAGTCAATTACACGTGGAGGACGCCTCAGTTTGCGGGCACGTAGTAAATACAATTACACGTGGAGGACGCCTCAGTTTGCAGGTACTTAGCAAATACAATATTACAGGTGGAGGACGCCTCAGTATGCAGGTACTTAGCAAATACAATATTACAGGTGGAGGACGCCTCAGTATGCAGGTACTAAGCAAATACAATATTACAGGTGGAGGACGCCTCAGTTTGCAGGTACTAAGCAAATACAATATTACAGGTGGAGGACGCCTCAGTATGCAGGTACTTAGCAAATACAATATTACAGGTGGAGGACGCCTCAGTTTACAGGTACTAAGCAAATACAATATTACAGGTGGAGGACGCCTCAGTTTACAGGTACTTAGCAAATACAATTACACGTGGAGGACGCCTCAGTTTGCAGGTACTTAGCAAATACAATATTACAGGTGGAGGACGCCTCAGTTTGCAGGTACTTAGCAAATACAATATTACAGGTGGAGGACGCCTCAGTATGCAGGTACTTAGCAAATACAATATTACAGGTGGAGGACGCCTCAGTTTGCAGGTACTAAGCAAATACAATATTACAGGTGGAGGACGCCTCAGTTTACAGGTACTTAGCAAATACAATTACACGTGGAGGACGCCTCAGTTTGCAGGTACTTAGCAAATACAATATTACAGGTGGAGGACGCCTCAGTTTGCAGGTACTTAGCAAATACAATTACACGTGGAGGACGCCTCAGTATGCAGGTACTTAGCAAATACAATATTACAGGTGGAGGACGCCTCAGTTTGCAGGTACTTAGCAAATACAAAATTACAGGTGGAGGACGCCTCAGTATGCAGGTACTAAGCAAATACAATATTACAGGTGGAGGACGCCTCAGTTTGCAGGTACTTAGCAAATACAATTACACGTGGAGGACGCCTCAGTATGCAGGTACTTAGCAAATACAATATTACAGGTGGAGGACGCCTCAGTTTGCAGGTACTTAGCAAATACAATATTACAGGTGGAGGACGCCTCAGTATGCAGGTACTTAGCAAATACAATATTACAGGTGGAGGACGCCTCAGTTTGCAGGTACTAAGCAAATACAATATTACAGGTGGAGGACGCCTCAGTTTACAGGTACTTAGCAAATACAATTACACGTGGAGGACGCCTCAGTTTGCAGGTACTTAGTAAATACAATATTACAGGTGGAGGACGCCTCAGTTTGCAGGTACTTAGCAAATACAATTACACGTGGAGGACGCCTCAGTATGCAGGTACTTAGCAAATACAATATTACAGGTGGAGGACGCCTCAGTTTGCAGGTACTTAGCAAATACAAAATTACAGGTGGAGGACGCCTCAGTATGCAGGTACTAAGCAAATACAATATTACAGGTGGAGGACGCCTCAGTTTGCAGGTACTTAGCAAATACAATATTACAGGTGGAGGACGCCTCAGTTTGCAGGTACTTAGCAAATACAATTACACGTGGAGGACGCCTCAGTTTGCAGGTACTTAGTAAATACAATATTACAGGTGGAGGACGCCTCAGTATGCAGGTACTAAGCAAATACAATATTACAGGTGGAGGACGCCTCAGTTTGCAGGTACTTAGTAAATACAATATTACAGGTGGAGGACGCCTCAGTTTGCAGGTACTTAGCAAATACAATTACACGTGGAGGACGCCTCAGTTTGCAGGTACTTAGCAAATACAATATTACAGGTGGAGGACGCCTCAGTATGCAGGTACTTAGCAAATACAATATTACAGGTGGAGGACGCCTCAGTTTGCAGGTACTTAGCAAATACAATATTACAGGTGGAGGACGCCTCAGTATGCAGGTAGTAAGCAAATACAATATTACAGGTGGAGGACGCCTCAGTTTGCAGGTACTTAGCAAATACAATATTACAGGTGGAGGACGCCTCAGTTTGCAGGTAGTAAGCAAATACAATATTACAGGTGGAGGACGCCTCAGTTTGCAGGTAGTAAGCAAATACAATATGACAGGTGGAGGACGCCTCAGTTTGCAGGTACTTAGCAAATACAATTACACGTGGAGTGACGCCTTATTTTGCAAGTACTTTGGGGACACCTCAAAAGCTTTTGTAATTACTTTGCTTCAATAACATATATCTTAACCTCATTGGGTGCAGCCTTCTTAAAACATGCATACACAATATAGATCGACCTTTACACTCATCTAGAGAACGTATGACCTTTGCACTAGGAAGAAGGTATATTAGAAAAACTATTATCACAGTAATCTATATTCGATAATCTGCATTAAGATTGAAAGTATTTCAAGAACGAGGCATAGACATGGCTACATGACGCCATTCTCCGACAGCTTGATCTTATATAATGACGTCATCGCTCACACATGAATGGCATGTCCATTAACAGTGATATGTCTTGGAGAATTATGTAACATTAAAAAAACAACATTGTATGACTCTGGGAAAGGCCTTGACCAATGACAACAGCTACGTTAGTGCAGAACACGTGGCAGCTAGGATATCCCTGATATGACTCAACCCATCGTGAATAATCTTGTAACTTCAGCAAACCTTAACGAGGGCCCACTTCACATGAGAATCATGTCGAAATCAAAGCATGATTATACAGAAATCATGTCAGCATCGGAGGATGATTATACAGAAATCATGTTGACATCAAAGGATGATTATACAGAAATATGGTTAAAGCATATACGAGTATACAACATTAAACCTTCGTTGAACTATATGTTTCTACAGAAAAGACGTTGGCTAATTTGAAAATATTAATACAAAATAAACAAAGTAAAATATAATATTACGTACTATTAATATAAGAAGTATCGCTATACAAACATACTCTACGATTTATCCATATTCTGATGAAATAAGTGTATTTTCAAGAGACATTATGTTTCTCATCAACCCTCATTCCAAAATGACCAGATCGGTGAGGTAGCCTAGTGGTTAAAGCGTTCGCTCGTCACGCCGAAAGCCCGGGTTCATTCCCCATATTGGTAATCTGTCACGCCATATTAATCGTGATATTGCAGACATAATGCTAAAACGACGTAAAACCATTCTCACTCTTAAACAACAACCACGAAACAGCGAGGACCCCCGTTGTAACACGCTTAAACCTGACGACGACTTCACTTTGTAATTTCATTCCACATTAATCTGAAAAGTCATGATATAACTGAACTACTGTTCAAAGCGGCGTTAAACATAACACCTTGACAAAATTGCATTTCTAGTGATACTACATGAGCGACACTATTCGGGCTGTGTCAAAGTTGTTAATAACCCATGAAGTAAGCGACCAAAGCTGTACAAAGAGACCCAATGTACTGTATGGCCTAGATCAGCCATGCCGTGCCTGGACCAAGTACATCTATACATCCAAACCTCGTGGATCTGGAGGTTTCTCCATTGCAGCATGCAAACCCTAGGGCACAATACACTTAATAAAGTGGTGCGCGATATCTGTAAACAACATGGAGCGGAAATCTCCAACGAGAAGCATCTGCATGATTCATGGCCATGTGGACAACATGATTCAGATGAATCGGGGAATAGGTTCAATCCCGCTGAAACAGTCCAGGGTTGATAACTTCTCCTGGAATACTACTGAGTCCGGCTCTATCAATGAGTGAGTGAGTTGAGTCTGCTTAATGTGGGAGGAAATCCCGAAGTGATGCAGGTATCCTGAGTCGTTTACCACTTTGGTGAAGCCCCGGAAAACGGGTATTGCGCTGACTAACCTAGAAACATGATCGGGACGAATCGGGAACCTGCGATCATACGATCTGGCGTGCCCAGGGGACGCAACTCTGCATAGCGAATTGCGGTGCCTTAAACGACTAGGCCACCTGTGCGCATCCCCCACCCCTCCCTCTCGACTTAAAATCACCCAAACTGGTTCAAGCTTCAAGGATGACCAAATCATACGATGTATGAGGCTTTGTTTGTTTCTGATCTGACTTATAACACATATCTGACAGAATATCATGTCTTATTTGATAATATCCATCCGTTCATTGACATATAACTTATATTTCTACACAACAACATCACTATTCCACCGATATATACATAATTTAGCACAAATACGAACGGTACGACATCGCAGTAGACACCATCACGATGACGACCAGCAGCGTAGCGACAAACCGTCAAGGGAGATAACTCTGAACTGACTTACCGGATAACTGTAAATACCACTCACCGGGTAGCTCTCATTGCCCGTGTAGCCAGTAAGATGGACGGAGAAGTTAGACCTCTTGCCCTGAGCGTCTAACTGTAGGTTACCAGTCAAACCAAACTCTTGGTTCTGAAAAAATGGTAAATTGTATGCACTAAAACGAGTGGATGATGGCGCGAGCATTGTTTTTTTTCAGATTGTCACTCATTCAAAAACTGTTCTTTACAGCAGCTTATGTCACCAATCGATTCACATTTTCAGCTTTATTCGCAATTAGCACACCACCAACTTCCCGACCCTAGTATAATCATTAATGCGTCATAATAACAGTGTGTGTGTGAGTGAGTGTGTGTGTGTGTGTCTGAGTGTGTGTGAGTGTGTGTGTGAGTGTGTGTGTGTGTGAGTGAGTGAGTGAGTGTGTGTGTGAGTGTGTGTGTGAGTGTGTGTTTGTGTGTGTGTTTGTGTGTGTGTGTGTTTGTGTGTGTGTGTGTGTGTGTGTGTGTTTTATTTCAATGTATATTAAGACAGATTTTAATCTTGTTTTCGGAAAGATTTTAGATTCAACAAGTAATGTTCCTTTCTAAAGGATAATAAGTATCAAAGGCTATTTCCTTTACTAAACTGAAGAGCCAAAGAAAGAATAAACTAAGAACCAATCGCCGACATTGCGACCCCCATGTTCCTTGTGACGTCATGTGCACGTCACCTGTTGTGAGATACTTATTGATATGATGCATGTAGTATAAGCTATGATACCCGTATCGAATACATAACAATAGAATAACCATGACGTCCTTGTCACATTTTAGCCACCATCAAACATGGATATATTCTTTCTTTAGCCCGGCAGTCTTCGTGGTGTGAGACGCTCCTGTGCTACTAGCCCGACAACATATTCTTGGTTGAATGACGGACTGTTAATTTGACCTAAAAATAGTATTTTACTGACAACTTGTTTTGGGCAATATATTCTCATGCCAATTTTATTTAGATATGTCATGCTGTATTTACAAGTATATATTTTATATTATCACTATTATATGTCGCAAGCTCCGAGGTTCGTTCAATTTTGGCCCTTTGAAGAAGGTTCATACTCAAGTGAACTCACACAAAGAGAAAGTCAGTTCTTAAATATATGCATATTTCATGCATATTTGATTAGTGATACTTATAATGGTTTATCAGTTACGGGAACACTTTCAACGTTACAAGTCGCCGAAACATTGCAAACTTCAGGTCCAAAACACAACTATGATACCCGTATCAAATACATCATCAATAACCATATTTTGTTGCTTTCATTTTTAGCCACCATCAAACATCGGTGTATACAAACTTTACACAGTAGTGTATATATGGGGGTGTATGGCAGTTTCGTTATTTTCAACATACTGGAATGTGTAACAGAAATACGGACGGAATAACAGAGCTAAGTTCCTTGAACTACACACACCCCTTTGACTATTAATAACCCTTGAACTAAGTATACGTATTGAATTGATTATATGTCTGGAACTGAGTATATCCCTCGAACTAAGTATAAAATAATACCCCTTTAATTGATTATTGGGCTTAAACAATGCATACTCCCGGGACTGATCGTATTCTTTAAACAATGCAAAGGCCCAACGTTCTTGAAATCTGTATATCAGTTCAACTGAGAATAGTTTCTGTCCTATGTATGTAGTTCCTGAAATATGAATATCCCTTTAACTGATTATTGTTCTTGAAATACGTATGTAGTTTCTGAAATATGTATGTAGTTCCTGAAATATGTACATCCCTTGAACTGATTATCGTTCTTAAACTATGTATATCCTTTGAAAAGATTATTGTTCTTGGAGTCTGTGTGTAGTTCCTGAAATATGTACATCCCTTGAACTTAATATCGTTCTTAAACTATGTATATCCTTTGAAAAGATTATTGTTCTTGAAGTCTGTGTGTAGTTCCTGAAATATGTACATCCCTTGAACTGAATATCGTTCTTAAACTATGTATATCCTTTGAAAAGATTATTGTTCTTGAAGTCGTCTGTGTGTAGTTCCTGAAATATGTACATCCCTTGAACTGAATATCGTTCTTAAACTATGTATATCCTTTGAAAAGATTATTGTTCTTGGAGTCTGTGTGTAGTTCTTGAAATATGTACATCCCTTGAACTGAATATCGTTCTTAAACTATGTATATCCTTTGAAAAGATTATTGTTCTGAAGTCTGTGTGTAGTTCCTGAAATATGTACATCCCTTGAACTGAATATCGTTCTTAAACTATGTATATCCTTTGAAAAGATTATTGTTCTTGAAGTCTGTGGGTTGTTCCTGAAATATGTACATCCCTTGAACTGAATATCGTTCTTAAACTATGTATATCCTTTGAAAAGATTATTGTTCTTGAAGTCTCTGTATATATCCATATATTCCATATCCCTGGAATTCATTATCTCCTCTAACAGATACCATCGAAGCATGCGCATTCCAATTCCGTGAACAAGTGCCCTGTATTTGGGTATGTTTGTGACGGGTGACACCGATGGAACAGGATATTACGCTCACCTTTTCGCGAACAGTTGATGTCATCAATAGCTGATGTTGATTGGTGGTAAAGGTTTTGTGGGGGATATTTAAACGTGTTAAACTCTGAGAATTATATATCCACCTGTAAAGAGTCGAACACGCATGTGAAATATGAAATATGTATCGACACAGGACAACAGGAACAGAAGAATGACAACGTGACTCACACTCTTGATGTTCTGCAGGAGAGTGTCCTTTGTCTGGATGCTGGACGCTATAAGCAGCTGAACGGCGTCATGGGCGAGGGCGTACTCCAGCTTCCTCTTGTTGTTGTGGCTGTTGCTGTTGAGGTGGGTGATGTCGTTGATGGTGGAGTTATAAGGCACCAAGGAGAACACAGTAAAGTTGACGGCGATGTCCCGATAAGGCTCGAACAGGCTGCCGAGAGCGTCGCCCTAGGGTACACAACAAAATATTGACACCCAAGAACATTGCTATAGTTTTATAATATAATGTTATTAATGAATATACATGATGGTACAAACAAACAGCAAATACACACTTGTTTTGGGGGATTTGTTTTTGTGTTTCCAGGGGATTCATGTGTGTTCGGAACTCACCAGTGACGAAACCTGAATTCTTAAAAATAATTAGTTTTCGAACACAGACTTATTCTAGTTTATACTGGCGGCCAATTGACGAAGCTGTCTTGATGCAAAGATTGTCGTGAAGGTGTGGAAGAGCAAAAGCATCCTAGCTAATACAATTCTCGAAGCTGTTTTAGCATTAAGTTTACGACCCAAATAAAGACAGGGCCTCAGGTGAGACGGAGGACAACACGAGCTGTGTTGAAAAAAATGATTCAGAAGTAAAGGTCTACTGTATCATTTCTGACTGCAAAACCGAGTGTTTTCCACTTGCACTTTCAAACACCAACAACAGGTCCTAAAACACAAGCCATAAACATCACATTTACCGATTAGGACTTGTGCCTTAAGAGTGAGCCGATATCAGACGATAGCACAGTTATGCCATACAAAATGTTATTAACCTACTACACAGAACATACACGTATTCCTTCGTGTGTCCTTTGGAGTGGAGATATCACAATGGTCTAATACATAGGGTTCTAGTGACGTGGGTTTAAGGGCACTTTCAACAGTATTCAAGTTATATGGCGGCGTGTCAGCGTAATTTTGGAGGAAAACCCGAAGTGACCTTCACCACTTTGGTGAAACCCACGATCACGAATATGGTGCTGACAAACCTAGAAACATCATCAGGGCGAAACGGGATTTAAATCCATCATCACTGGTTTCTGTCGTTTCCAAGGGATGCAAATCTGCACAGCGAATTGCGGCGCCTTAGAAGACTGGGCCACCCATGTCCCCTACAGTTTATGAGCATGTCCACGAAGACCAGATTAACTGATAAACCGCATGCATACACTAAAGTTTTAGTGTGTACACGTCTGTTCTCCGGTAAGGAAAATGGTACATTTTCTTCTTCAGGGAGTCATATATTTGATATAATACCCATCAGGTTAAAGGATCTTTCAGTCCTGCTAAATATTTACAGGTCATCGTCATATAGATATTATATGATAACATTCAGCTATTGTTCAAATGGCAATATCACAATAGCACTTGGAGCGACCTGCTTGGGAGGTGTCTTCAGATCTTAACCTTGAGAAGTATCTTCATAATCAGCCAAATCAGAGCCAAGGCTTCTAAATTCTCGGACCGATTGAGCTCAGCATTTAGATCCCCATGGCTGATGTCTGTATCTTTAAAACGAACTTTATCGGCTTGTTCAAAGCTTCTTTATTTTTTATCGTTATGGATATGTTATTCACCCTGTCGTATTGTGGCGCTATGGCATCTACAACCAAGAGATATACCTTGAAAGGAATATTTGTGTTCTGCGTTTGGTAAAATTTCGGAATAAAGGTGTTGAATAAACGAAGCCGAATATCTTGGGCAGGTGGGCGGATACGGCAGTGATGTCACACGGAAGTTAACACTGTTGTAAATTTTTGGTAATTTCTTTGAGGTCAAACTTATTAACTCGGCATCCAGCGGGTACATGTTCTTTGATCTTATCTAGTCAACATTGTCATCATCACCTTGATATCCACAGATATGTCGTAAACCTTTTAAATTTGTTGTAGGGTCACATTTGTTATGAGTAGTACGCAGTGCGTCGAATGACGTCACTCATGGCCGTTGTGTTATGTATAAATACGCCCCTGCGATCATGAGAATAGACAAAACGCATCGATTCTATGCCTGTTAGTTCCCATTTGTCTCACAACTCATTGTGTCAAAGCGTATCTAACTCGCTTTCAATAAATGGTATCTGACAGATAATCGTGTATTAATCTCTCCATATCCGCGGGTATGGCCACATGTCAAAGACTGATAGATTGCATAAAACACATTGAACTAACATCCCTTCAAGACTTATTGATAGTCACTTCTATCGTCGTAACTTAGTTTATTTCGGACATATTGTAAGTTGCAGCTGTGTTTATTGAACGAATGAAAAGTGCGTCGCTAAATGGGCAACGCCATATATAACTGGCTAAACCCAGAAGGGGACACTGGTGGCCCAGCCGTCTAAAGCGCTGCAGTTCGCTATTCAGAGTTGCATGCCTTAGGTGTACCAGAAACCTCTGATACCAGGTTCAAATCTCAGATTTCTAGGTTTGTCAGCACAAGGCTCGGGCGTTAAACCACAATAGTAAACGTCTAAGGCTTGCATCACTTCGGGCTTTTCTCCCACATCAAGCTGACACGTCGTGATAAATCTGAAATTATGTCCAAAACGGCGTTAAATCCAACTCACTCACTCAGAAGTGACAGGCGCAGATATACGTACCGGGTCGTAGAAGCCCCATTCATACGGAGGCGTTGACAGCATGGCAAGGTTGCGTGCCTGGGAAATAAGCATGTTGAAGATTAGCAAACGTCATTATCACAGCGGAACAGGTCATATATAAGAGGGAGAGCTCAAAGTGCAAGGAATTAGGGTAATAATTACATCGCTTAAAGACACCTTATTATTCTATTATGTTAATAAACGCATATAAACAACATCGCACTCCGTCATTACGTATTTAAGATTTGAGTTAAGTGACATGCTCACGTACTCATTGTTCATTGTAATTAATATATTTTTACAGTACAAATAATAATTACTGTCCCTATTGTGGTAATTACTTGAAACGAACTTGATGATTGATATGTTATGAATTTGGTGGTCACTAATTAAACTGGGATTAAGCACTGACAGCGCAGACTGTTAAACGATGCACCGTCTATTATATCAAGTAAAATGTCCTGTGTTCCCATGTATATTAACTCATGTGCTGAAGTGTCAATCCAATGATAGTGACTGGGGGAATGGGGTATTTTAGGTGTAATAACTCATTTAGTAGTTATCGATGCGAAGGTTCTCAGCATTTCACAACGATATCTCAGGCCAAAATACCTGCAATGATATGAATTCTTTACTTCAGGTGGGATATTGCAGCTTAACATTATGATGAGAACTTAGTTTAGCTAAAGACTGATCAAAGATGTTCAAATACATTGGGATTAAGTCCAGTTCTTTCTTTCTTTCTCCCTTGTCAGGACATTATTTACCTCCCTGTTGCTGGAGGTCACTCAAGGTGAGCAAATTCAAATATATAGTACTTTGGCAACTCTAGATTTCTTCAGTGTTAGAAAATGAAGCGATTCTTTGGGCTGCTTTCTAATACATATGAAAATACAATTATCAAACAATGTTCGCCCCTGAAGATCTGGTCTGTAACTGATCTTTGGTAACCCATGCTGGGCGACTGACGGGATCGGGTGGTCAGACTCGCTGACGTGGTTGATCGTACCCCCGTAGATCGATACTCATGACATCAATCATTGGTATCTGGTACACACTCAGTTATTTACAGACAGCCGTCATATAGCTGGGCCTGGAGCTGGAGTGCGGTTTTTAAACAACAAAAATGCAAACTAACAAATAATACCGAGTGTTAGACTAAGTCTTGGTTCAGAAATTCAGGCCGAACTCTGAATCGCTGCTCTGACCTAATGACCTAATGACCTAATGACCTAAATCATTCATGTCTCGTCCTCTTACATCACAATAATAATTTCTACACGAGTAGAGAAAGTGGAAGATGGTTTTATTTAAATACGAATTACACGATCCAGCGTCGGTAAAATAGCACACGTCTGAAAGCCAAGTCCTTATAAGACATTTTTATGTGATAATTTCTTGATTTTCAAAGCACCGGAATAGCTTCCATAAACTTTCCGTCAGAGTAGACACATTGACTGACTTAAATGAAGACGGGCCGGGGTCCCAAAGTCGACCACGATTCGTTCTGACTGATGAGGCCAGACAAAGATGCCGACTTAAATCGATTGAGTGTATGAAACATAGTGTTACGATAAGGATGCATAACCTTGTACTGTGTAGATGAGGGCACAACTCGAGGTGCACTTCAATTTTGGTGGCATTTTACATTTTCTATATTTCTTTCATCTGCATTTTATTGACTTGCCTGTGCATGTGTTTGTGACGGGTGTCACATGTGGAGAGGATGCGCTCACTTTTTCGCGAACACCTGTTATCATCACTAATTGATAGCGATTAAGAAATTCATGATAAATTTATGGTAATAATTATTGACACCCCTATACTATGGCGCCTGTGTGTAAGGTTGACAATACTTATGGACATATATTTTTCGGAATCGTGTGACGGAGTCTTATTTCTTATGATTATGGAACTGGTTATATCGCGAGGTTTTTCATTCAGTTCACACTGTTTGCATATATGCAGTGTAGATTCGATTGTTTCTGGGTGGTAATATAAACTCAAAGCAGCATGGGTGCAATCATCTAGAGCCAAGTGTGACACATTTCCATCTGAATGTGGTTATTTGAAAATTGATACATGCTATTCAAAGGACGTTCCTAACCTTAAAAGATACACCTACAGTGAAACCGGATGCTACTGTTGCCAGTGTAATCGTCCGGATGTACAAATGTCCAGATTGAAGAACCGTGGATATAAGCTGTATGTAAACATTTCTATATTAATCTTCAGGATTACAGGAATACGGGTCCGGATTATCGAGGGTTCAGTGTTTATCCGATGTATTGCAATGGGTATGTCTAGATACTGTAAGTGAAAATAATGGCGTTTCTAAAGTACGCCATTGATAAGATATGCATTGGAATATTCCAGAGAATCGTTCTTTGAGAAGAAACAGGCAATGAGGGTCGGTATCAGTCAGCTCCTTGCGTGCTAAAGGTGTGGGGAATATCTGTGTGAAAGCAAGCAGATTCTTCAGCTATATCTTTCCGATAAACTACAGCCACAGAAAAAGGTTTGAATCTTTTGAATTATTTAAAAAAATTATTGTTTTCTTTTGATAAAAAGTTGGAATTGAATCAACCTGGAATCCTGCCACACAATAAATCACTGGGTCTGGTTAATGTTGGAAAACGATTATTAAATGATGGTTAAAAACTTGAAGTGCGTGAATCCAGAACATGTTATTTTCGAAGTTGTCCACACAACGAGGGGAATTATATGGACTTTGTTTAAGAGCAGTCTTAGTCTTTCCTCGTGAGTATCAGTACTATTTGATCTCGGGCCATTTACAAAGGGCTCACCGTCTTCACGACTGGGGATTTAACCAGCATGAAAACAGTCCTTTCTTTTTTATAGGGAAAGTCTATAATCGCCCATCTTGTATTTAGGTTAGGAGCTAACTGGTTGATAGTATTCCAATACGCGCTGTGCTCAACACTCCTCTTATACTTGATTCACAGACCGACTTTAATGTAGTTTGTTCCAGAAAGGGATTATTAGCTCAAGATAAAGACTATTCCAATCAGGTTGATTCTATTGACACAGTTACCTATTTCTGCCTTGGGTGAAACCTTAAGAATGTATGCACTACTGTTCAAAAGAAACCTCCCGTCGATTTCACATCACGGTGTTGGTATCGCGATCTTAAGAACCTTTCAGATAACTCGAGTGTCGAGATAAGAGTGTATATAGGAGTCGTATGTGTTTAATGAATGATAATAAACAAACATAATCGTATAGTTAAGGCAACGATGTATACAAGCCGTTTCCTTTTTCACAGAGAGAGGGTTCGTGGTCGCTCTTCAAGCATACATCATTACTCGCAAATCTATGGTCACGGTTTTAACTCAAACTCTTTCAAACTATTTGAGATTAGTGAGTGAATGTTGCTGAACGCCGCAGTGAGCAATGCTCAAGCTTAATGACGGCGATCTGTGAAGAGTCTGAACCAGACAAACCTTTGGTTGATATTGTGAGCACCGTCGTGGTACAAAGTCAGCTAGCGTGACCACCTGATCCATGTAATCGCCTCTTGCGACAAGCATATACTGGCTGGGAATGCACTCTAAAGTAAGTGTTATACTGAGAAAAAAGCATGAAGATCTACCTCTCCGAGCAGAAACTCTGTGTAGAGTTTCCCGCATATGACTATGGAGTGTTCTACCAGGACTTTCCGCATCTGTACAAGTGCCTCTCTTGCTTTATTCCTCATGATAAGGTGTGTGTCACGAGTTTTATTCCGCTTTCCCTGGTCTGGGAGGCGCCATGCCTTGACAGACAGAGAGTGGTTTGTCATCAGTCGTTCCAGAACCGCCAAACCTGTAACGGGAGTTAAATAAAAAACATGAAATTCAATGATTTAGTTCAACGTTGTCGTGTAATGAAGGCGAACATAGAGATATTGATATACGAACTTACGGCATCGACCATGGTGATGGGATGGCCCAGTGGTTAAAGCGTTCGCTCGTCAACATGAAACCCAGGTTCGATATTTGCAATGTAGGACGTACATATGCATGTCCCTGCCGTGATATTGCTTGAATAAACTCACTAGCTGACTTACTCAGATCGACTGATCAGATGACCACATCAATAACACTGTTAGCGGCGTAGAACCATACTCACTCACTCACGTGGGCAGTGGAAGAGCGGTTCTTTGAGAAATGGCACAACATGTCTAAGATATATCCCCACTGCTGTGCCCAAATGAACATAAACCGCACGTGTAAACCATGAGCTTTGGTCACACATCTCCATATCAGAGCGGACGTATAGATCTGAGAAGACGTTTTAGTGGTCCCCGAACCCTTCCCCGACTTTCCCCCACGGATTGATAATCAGTGTCTTTGTTGCTTCGTAGATTAAAGCCATTAACTTAATGGGCGGCGGGGTAGTCCAGTGGTTAAAGTGTTTGCTCGTCACGCCGAAGGCCAGGGTTCAAATCCTCACATGGGTACATTTTATAAATCCCATTTCTTGTGCCCACCGTAATGTAGCTGAAATATTGCATTTAATCAATGATCATGACCGTATTCATTACCCACCTTTATCATCATCATAGAAGACACTTATTTTTTTCCAGCTCTGTTTTTGTGCAAATTCTAGCAAGGCCTGACAGAAGTCCTCTAGTTCCGGTATGAGCTGGACGGTGTATTTCAGCGTATCCTTGGTTACAGGAGACGTGGCAAGGTAAGGAATCTTCCGTTCCTCGGCTGCCAAGGCAACGCCGTTGTCATAGGGGCCGATAATGGCGTCGATGGACAAGTGTTGTATTTTTCGATGAACTGAAATAGTTGGAACTTATTACTTATCATTATATCACTATGACGACTACAGTAATTTGAACAATAATATTTATATAGCGAACATAATAGTGTGATCTTTCAAAATGAGAGGTGAATGTATGCATCAATTTCATTTAAGACAAAGGAAGATAGGTTTACAGTTCGGGTTGCATAACAAATTTGAAATTCTTAGTAACACAAATCCTATATCATAAGAAACCTCTTCTAAAAGCAGAGTCGATTGTACGATTCTGACTACATTATAAGCACGTGTTTATGAATCACTATCAAATAGTGATAAGACCAGGTGACTACATCATAAGTACGTAATTATGAATCACTATCAAATAGTGATGATACCAGGTGACTACATCAAAAGCACGTAATTATGAATCACTATTAAATAGTGATGATACCAGGTGACTACATCATAAGCACCTGTTTATGAATCACTATCAAAAAATGATGATACCTGGTGACTAACTACATCCCAAGCACGTGTTTATGAATCTCTTTCAAATAGTGATGATACCAGGTGACTACATCATAAGCACCTGTTTATGAATCACTATCAAATGGTGATGATACTTAAATAGTGATGATACCAGGTGACTACATCATAAGCACGTGTTTCTGAATCTCTATCAAATAGTGATGATACCAGGTAGTAACCGTTGCAACACACATTTTTACGGAAAAAATATCTCTGGGCATTTTGAGTGTCCTTAAAAATAATGTAAAGTTATTTTTTGCTCCTCCTTTCAGAGAAAAATACTGTGAACGAAAACTCTCCTCCCCCGAAAAAACTATCGGTCCCTTTGTTTTGATCTGTGTGAAATGCCCCTTAATATGTTTATCAGCAGGACAGCCTACCGTCTACCATCCGTGTGTAGGTGCTCTGATCCTCTTTGCCGTAGATGTCGTAAAACCTCAGATTGGTGATGTTGTAGTTGATGACGTTGGTAACACCGCGAGATGAGTTGGCCACCACTTCCCGCCATGATGGCAGCACACCTGAACATATAAGAACATCACGTTTAATGTTTCATGTGGTATCCCAGAAGTGCTTTTTTTTTAATTTGATGTAATCATACCGATGACCGTTTTAGTATGGCAGCTACATCAATATCGGTATGACATGTTAGGTGATTCGTTTAACAGTTTCTCTGGTCATATTGTTGCCATGTTGCCAGTTAGTTGCCATGATATGTTTTTATTCACGCAGTTTGTAAGGTTATATCTTGAGTTAACTGCTATAGTAATTATTTGTTCAGACAATTTGTAAGGTAATATCTTGAGTCAACTGCCATGGTATATACATTTTTATTCATATTCAATTTCTAAAGTTTTATCAAGTGTCATTTGTCATGATAATTATATTATATTCACACAATTCTAAAGTTATATAAAGAGTCAATTGCCGTGATAATTATATTTTTATTTATACAATTTCTAAAGTTTTATCAAGAGTCATTTGTCATGATAATTTTATCATGTTCACACAATTCTACGGTTATATACAGAGTCAATTGCCATGCTAATTATATTTTTATTCATACATTGTCTAAGGTTATATGATGATAACTGATTCATTCAAACAGCTTCTCAATTTACACCATGATCTGATTGTCATAATTCTTAACTATTTCTACCCGTCTGTAAACATTCCTTCAACAGCGATTCAGTTCAAGTAGGCATACCATGAGTTGTGCGGAAGGATGTTTTCTCAGTCAATATGTGCATGCCCATCCAAGCCTACAATACGTGTATTTGCGTGGATATCAGTTCATGACAATGTGTTTCAGCCTACGTGTTCAGACAGACATATTATAGCACGGGGTTCCTGTTTCACCCCTCCAGCCAATATAATGTAATTTTACTATAGTCTGTTTTTCTCATTTGCCCCAGGGAATGGAACTAATGACAAGCATCAGGTTATCAGGTCAGGGAGGTTGCTTCGTCTACTGATCACTTCTCTCGTTCACTTCCGGTATGAAGACATATACATCTTAGGGCACGGGTGGCCCAGTCGTCTAAGGATAAACTGAGGATACTTTTGCCACTATATTTTTCATAATATTTGCTGACGTAAACAAATTGCCAATAATATCTTAATTATTAGGGAAACTGATATTTTTTTTCTATCAGAACGTGCAAGCAAACAGAAATACTGAGACTCTAAGTTCTACTGTATACAGGGGCGCGGGCGGTCCAGTCGTCTAAGGCGCCGCGATTCGCTGTGCAGAGCTGTGTCCGTTGGGCGCGTCAGAAACCTATGTATGTGGGTTAGAATCCCGGTTCGCCCAGATTATGTTTCTAGGTTTGTCAGCACCAAACCCATGCCCGTGGGTTTCACCGAAGTGGTAAACGTCTGAGACCTGCATCACTTCGGGCTTTCCTCCCACATTAGTGAGTGAGTATGGTTTTACGCCGCTTTTTAGCAATATTCCAATCTTTTTAGCAATATTTAGCCTAGTGGTTAAAGCGTTCGCTCGTCACGCCGAAGACCCGGGATCGATTCCCGACATTGGTACAATGTGTGAAGGCCATTTCGGGTGTCCCCCGTCGTGATATTGCGGGAATATTGCTAAAAGCGGCGTCAAACTATACTCACTCACTCACTCTGATTGTAATGACCTGTCCGTCTGTCCGCTCGCTCGTTCGTTCGTTCGTTCGTTATTTCGTTCGTTCCTTCCTTCCTTCGTTCGTAGCTAATCAATCAGAACTAATCTAATTTAGTCTAATTTAATCTGCCGGTCAAAAGAAAGTATACACTTGAAGAATGACACCCAAACGCCCTACCTCATAGATCACAATTAAATAAACATTTCTTGTATGTTTCCTTTTTAGCCTCCATCTCATGGGTGTATACTGTCTTTTGCCCGGCAGTGTATTTACAAAGTTTGTCTTACTTCGACACACTGTGAACACTTTCTGCACTTTCATAATAGTTTTATTTCTCCATTGATTTCCTGCATCCACCAAAGCATGTAACACGTTCCTGTTAGCTATTATACAGAGACTATCAATATATTTACCACGTGTGGCCAATATCAAACCAAGGGCCTGTCGTACGCCTACATTTTATATATACTGAATAAAAAATTCTAGGGATCATGAATACTTTTGGGGATATTTTTTTTGTGAAATGGTGTGTTCAGGTATCACTACAAAAAAAACCATCCCCCAAATATTCATGATGCCTACCTTTTTCTGATCGGTATATATGGAACACAAGTATCTTATCATTATATGATGTGGTATACAAGGAAGAATGTTAGTATAAAGAAGAAATATCGGAGAGCTTTCGCACATATGTTTCAGGTAAAAGTACCTTTCCTGATGAGCATTGCACCTGACGTCGAGATCACTTCACTCAATCCGTTTTCGTTTTATCGAATTCCCACCCACATTTCAGTATTACCCGGCAACGACTTGCCACATTGAGGTCAAGAAAACAAGCGCACAGTGCTGCGTGGTACCAAAGACACGATGGTTGGGGATGTTGTTATTTCAATCAAACGATGACGTCATGGAAGCAAGGTGAACGTACAATGCCAGACACAATCACTGCAGCAATAACCTTCGGATTAATACCAGGCGAGTCACTGGTGATTGCTGGTTTTATGATAACCCTGCAAGGAGACAAGCCTTGGACAAATTGGCAGTCCTCGCAAGTTCGTTTCACGTCATTCGAAATTCACTTTTTATGCTAACCGAAATGGTATGATACATATCAAGCATGTAATTGTCATCCAAATTACAGAGACATTTATCAGTTAAACACTCAATTCGACGTCTAAACCTAGACTGATTTCCTCTTGGAGCTGTTGTAGAATTATGCTCCGTTTGATCGCTTCAGGAACTTGCAAATCTCTTCAAACCCGACCAACCCTGGAAATGCACTGGAGAGGATATAAACATGTCTGATCACGCAAAACTAAAACCTTCTTGAATTAACGCAGTATGCGACCAATCCCAATATAACAATGTAATTCAATGATAACATATAATATTTTGCGACGTCGGTAAATGCAAAACGCGGCTTTCAAATACATGAATCAGGCGATCATTATCTCGAGCGTACACTGCAAACATCCTGAAAGTCTTTGCCTGACCATTCCACAGAATATGTGCGCAATATGTCTCTGACCTGTTGCATGGCAACTCCTTTCTTATACTACACCAGTACTGTTATGAGGTAGCGCATGGGCGTTTGTAAGGGACGGGACATAAAGATATTCACGATAAGCGTACAGGATGTGAAATGTCAGGACGATTTTCCTCGAAAGCAAATCGGTTAATAGGAAAGGGTAAATGTGGTGCGTTATAACACATATAATGTATTCACGGACAGTGAGTAAAACAAAATACCCACTACATCAGGAAAACATCCGTGTTGGAGAATGGTTGATAAGTTCATTTCATACAAACCTCTCTCTTGCTGAGCTGCAACAGCTAGTTATTACATAATCCGCCAGGAATAGTTACATTATTCATTGCAACAAGCTGAGACAGTATCACTGTACATTAATATGAACTGCCAATTACCAACATTATCGAGTTAATATACATATGTACATATTGATTAATATATTATACAATGTATGTAGGGGCAAGTGACGTGAAAGGCAAGGATATCGGTGCAATTATTTTCAGTAGTTCTCACTGAGCATTCTAGTTTCTGCTTCTGGCCGATTGCCTAATTAAAGCGAATTGTTCCACTGAGGTGCGAAACAACGTGAGGTCATTGTCGCATTGTCGCAAATGATTATAGATGTCATCCATTTTTTATGATGTCAGTCGGTTTTATGTAACGTCGTCCCAACAATAGATGGACCATGCGGTGTCGTGGTGTATGGTGGTCGTAATGGTTACCACGCCATCAGGTCTGGTAGTCACGACTGGGGCTGGGAGTTTGTTATAGAGTTAGAATATTTTTCGGCCATTTTTTGAGAAACAAAAATTAAAAAGAGCGAACATTTCCGAATTAAAAAAGTAAATTAAATGTTTATAGAGTTCAACCGTTGTTGTTTACTCCAAAAAATAGTTTTGTTGATAAAAATCATTTCGTGAAAGGAGACATTGGACCCCTGAATTCCGCAAGCTCGTTACCTGTATCTCTACGTCAGTTATCTTCACACAGTCGACATCAGTCATTTGCACCCACTCAATCACGTGTGTGTTTGCCACACGTATGTATCTAAGGTGAACACAGCCCTCACATTGCCAGAACACTCGTGCAGCCTTTCAAGATGAACACATTGCCAGAAGACGCAACACCAGGCATTACACCATACACCATATAACGAGGTTTGTTACACCATACACCATATAACGAGGCTTGTTACAGCAAACACCATATAACGAACTACGTGAAGCAAAAGGTCAATGACCTGTTCTCGAAACTTCGTGGTTTATCTCTCCTAAGATGATGATTAAACGGCTGAGTTACACCGAGGTATGGCAACTGCCCTCTTCGCGCCACGGCAACCTCAATTGGGTGGTTCAGGGGGAGGTTATCTCTACATCATCACCACGGAACTGCCGCTGCTACATCTCCAGCACTGTGCAACCCACGGGCACGGGAGTGAGGGAGATAGTGAGATGGGTCTAATGCCGTTTTGATCGACTAGTATTGCTAGAGTATGTGTCAAATCGGATCACAACAGTGCCAATTGTATCATAACGGTGTCAAATCGTGTCATAACGGTGTTAAACGTATCATAACGGTATCAGATCGTTTCATAACGGTGTCAAATCGTGTCATAACGGTGTTAAATCGTGTCATAATGGTGTTAAATCGTGTCATAACGGTGTCAGATCGTTTCATACGGTTTCAAATTGTATCATAACGGTGATCAATTGTTTCATAACGGTGTCAAATCGTATCTTCACAGTGTCACATTGTATCATAACGGTGTAAAATCGTATCATATCGATGTCATACTGTGTTCACAAGTATATACAATGCGTCCAAACGTATCATAGCGGTGTCAAATTGCAAAAAATGTGCCAACTAGTATCACAACGATCTGAAAATGCATCACAACTGTGTCAAGTCGTTGAAGTGACACGGTCGCAACCTGTCTATTACCATAGACGATGAGTAAGAACAGAAATTATGACATTGTCAGGTTTAGTGTCATTGACAACTGCGGTAGTTGCGCAACAGTTATATCCGTTCTCACTCTCCTGCTGGCTTCAGAGGAACTGACATTACCAGATCATTGATCTGCCAGGTCGTTGTCTCATGACATACTACATAAGTCCAACATTTACATCATTCTACCTATGTGAAGAACTTAACTTACTGAAACATAACGACATTGCTGGTTGATAACGGATAGAAAGAACTGGTCACCTTCTACAAATTAAAAACGTCAGGATCTAACGCGCTAAGACTAAATTTCTTAAAATGATTCTTTTTCTCCCGGTTGGACAAGATACCAAATAGCGTTCAAAGTCGTTCATTTAATACAGGCTGTAGTTGCTACAGGGATATTTAAGGTGCTGAGAGTGACAATATGCCGTTCATAGACGCAATATAGTTTACAATAAGTTGCCTAAATAAGACAACTTAATACGAAACAAACAAACAAACAAACACGGAAGAACACCGAGGAATTTACTGGGCCTGTTAGCTTCTGATATAGATGTATGGTTAGCGTGTACATCCGCCTCCGATCTCCACTTAATGATGGCGGATATAGAGGTGTGGCACGGTTATTCGTCCCAAACAGCTAATTTATACTCGAAGTGTTCTAACAATTTCAACTCATGGAGTCTAGAAGACACATGGAGTTAGCTTAAAACCATTGCTTTTGAACTAGCAAAATGTACTAGTGAATTTACTTCATACTTGAAGATTTGTAGACGTTAGTAAATGTCTGACATTTATAATAGGGGAGTGATCGCCGTACAAAGATACCAGTGTATATATACATGTTGAAATCGTACATTTTGTTATAGCTATTTCATAGAACATTGACACTCTGTTGAATAGCTCTTATCACAATCTAGGGCGATCTATGTACATGGCCTAAGTGTTATTCAGCGTTCTTTGATTTGTTCGACGTTCCATAATTGTCCTTGTTCCAAATGGTATTGCATGTATGTGTGCAAATGGAGAGCACGGTAGAGTAAATACATTGCCTTCCGACATTCCAGTAATACGCATGCCAGCAACCGGTGACTGTATTCACGTCCGGATAATTACACCGCTCTTTTATTTAAACTTTATCACCGGGTCTCGAAATTGAAAAAAATATGCCAATAATATTGTGTTGCTGCGTGAAGTGCAAACTTGAAAAAATTGATTTTCCATCCCAGACAATACTTTTGGATTGCGTAACTATTGACATAATCCGTATGACCAACGTGACAGATGTTTTCAACGTGACTAAACACATCCCTTCAGCGTTGCTGTGAGCCATGAAACGACATTAAAGTAGCTATTTGTAAAGTTTGAAATTACACCGAAGTAAACCATGAACAGCTTGGTAATTCGATACTAATCGCCATCAGCATGTTCCATAGATTTAGCCTGTGCGTTTCATGACGAGAGCGTGGTTGAGTTATTGAGGTAGCTTTGATAAAATTGACAATTGTAGATAAGATCACGTCTGTTTAAAAACATCGATATTAACATGAAAATCGTATCTGCGTAATTGAAAATGTATTAAATTTGTAGATTGCTTTCGGCATGGTCTTATGAAACTTTTTTACCTCGTATGATATTTATTGCTTGACAGCAGATATAACGTGCCGGGCAAAAGAAAGTATTCACTTGACAGCTGGATTTGACGAAAACCGTTACTGGGCTCATCTGTGTGGTGAGATTCATTGTTATGATGCATGTTATATCGCCAATGATACCCGTATCAAATACATCACCATCGAATAACCATTTTTTGTTTGTTTCATTTTTTGCCACCATCAATCATGGTTGTATTCTTTCTTTTGCTCGGCAGTTAATATCTGCGCAGTTGGTAAATACAAGTTACGTTGATTAAAAATAGGAATATATGATTATATATATCTCTATGAAAATGCCTGTAAACCTGAAAATCATATGTGTATGTATTGTGCAACCAAAGGACCTTGGCACGGAAGACAATACCATTAAGCCCGTCGTGTACATGAACAGATCCATAGACACATCTCGAATGTTTCTCGTACTTCGCATGAAGCTAAGATGTTTGGCTTCATGTTCACGATTTCAAGCTTGAAACAGGTTTCGTTATTGTAGATGCGACCACACACATATATGTCCTTTGTCGCGTTTTACACACATACCCTGCTACATCTGCTACATACACCTATTCTTCTGACAGCATGGTTCTTCTGTCATCTTTCATCACTTCAATCCAAAGACATGACTACCATATACCAAACGTCCTTCGTTGACGGTTCTTCTTGTGGGTATACAAGCAGCCAATGTTACCTACCTATATTGAGTATGTCTGCTGACGCTCCATGCACGATGAAACCCATGACCAGGTGAGCTAAGACCACGCCTCCTGCCATCTTGGACGTATTCCTTTCCAGGTCCGACCGCTCACTCTAGAGAACTATCATTCCTGAAACAAACAAAACAATCTCTGATGGCGGATTTAAGAGACAAGTTTACCTTCTTTAACTTGGACTCTTGCTCGGGAGCTATTTGATCAAGGTGACGACATTCAACACCTCAGTAAAGCTTTTAAAAACGTTTTTTGGTAGACATGTTGAGGAAATTTCCACATTTGTGGCATCAACATTAGTGACAAAAATGAAGTCTGATGTAATTCCCTATTTTGACTTTTACCGTACATTCCCGTATTATTTTTCAGGTAAGCAGAATACTACCTTTGCATGTGTTTTTGACGGGCGCTACAGGTGGATCAGGATACGCTCACCTTTTCGCGGACATCTGATACCATCACTGTTTGATATTGATACATAAACATATGCTTACAGTCGGAATCGACAAATGAACTCCGAGTTAAGCACCATTTGATGGAGATTCGTAAATACATGCTGAAGATAGCTGTTGGAATCGTATAATGAACTCGGCTTTTAGCAGAGATTTCTTATGAATATAGAATGGTTTTCTCACTTTATTTCCCCAGGTGATAGGTAACAACCACTATTTACACGGGACTTGCTAATATGTAGCTTTCTGTAGCGATAATAATGTTTTTGTTCTATTAAGATCAAGAGCTGGTAAAACTTGTACGAGGGAGAATATTATGATGGAAAATGTTTATATTATTCATAAAACGGACAAGCTGCTTCTAAAAATATTAGTTAAAATAACGAAACAAGAAAAAACAATAAAACTTTTTTTTCCAACTTACTATCACGTAAACGGTTCGGACTGAGCAACGACCAGGCGTCTACTGCAATCATGATATTTATATTGAACAAAATTGCATCAGCTATTCGTGTAGGAGTGTTCTCAGGACCGCGAGTCGTGAACCTACCATCTGCACCACTAGTAATCACTGATAAATACGTCTAATGTTAAATGAAACGAGAGGTATTTTGCAAATCATTCACATATCTAACGGTTGATTACCAATCTTTATTCGTAAACCCATTTAATAGGTAACAAAGCCATGTATTGGAGAAAGGAATGCTGCACGACGTAAGACAAAAAACTGTAATTTTACAAATTATATGATTCATTCATATAATTTTCACTACTATTTTGCCTTCTACGCCAAGTGGAATCTGTTTCGATAGATAATCGAGACTGGTTATTCTCTGGAATTGACGTTATATATTCAAGATACACCCCGAACATGTATTACTATTAGCAAGTGACTCAAAAAGAGACAGGGACATGATGGAGACTTAGGATCAGACCTTTTTTTAAAAGAAATTACTTTTTTCTATAATATATATTAGTATGTATTTTTTCAATTAGTTTGTACAAAATATGTTCATATAGTTAATATCGCATCTACCACATTACGTTCCGTCATTAAGGTGTAATTTTATTTAACACGTGTTTTACGTAAATGGAATATGATAATTACAAAAGCCTTCATAGGATAACCAATAGAGTTCGTACCACCCATAGAACATAGTTTTCAAAAGGCTTGTTGGTTTCCTTATAATTAGCAACGATTCCATTACTCTTCAAAGCAATGGTCCATCAAAAACATAGGTGTGCTGCCCCTCCTTCGCTTTGCTTCCTCCACCATCAACAGTTCTCGGTGCAATCAAAAACCAAGATTAATGTCCACGACAACTGGGCCTGACAATAGGAGGGTGGGTGTTGGGTTGGGGGCTTGCGGGTGACGTGTCGTCAGTACAGTGTGTACATGCGATGCCTGGGGTGAACTTGAGTCATGTTCTAAACATTTGGGTATCAGTTAATTGGAAGCATGAAGAATGATAAGGCGTTGTACTAAGGTGTGTGTCTTTCACTACTCCTTTATTAAGTGTATTTCTTTCAGCGAAAGCGTTGTTTTGTTCTCTGTCCTCTTTGAACATCTGCCTATAATATCCTTGAACAGTTCATGTTTGTTGTGTGGAGTAATATTCCAGCAGCTCCAGCCTTTCGTGTCACTCATTCTAAGATTGTCTGAAATAATGTCGGTCATAAGACTCTTGCTCAAGATCCGGGTGATCAGGATAACAGAATTCAAGGTCTTTGGAAAAACGTTTATGTTAGACATGTGGAGGACATTTCCAAATTTGACGCATCCGTGGCCAAAGTTATGTTCGATGCAAGTCCCTAATTTGACTGGAACCATATGTGCCAGTGTTAGTTCAGGTGAATACTTCCCTTGCCTTTGCGTGTGTTTTTGGCGGATGTTACTGGTAGGGCAGGATACGCGTACCTTTCCGCGAAGATCTGATACCATCACTGTTTGATAGTGGTTCATAAACATATGCTTATGATATGGTCGGAATATGGACTCTGATTGAAGCAGATATTTCATCTTATTATGGAAAGGGTTTTGTTGCTTTTATTTATGTTCACTGGAATGATATTCAGTATATTCCTCTTTCCAAGATTTTGGAAAGAAAATGGAATGATTTTGTTTGTTTGTTGTTACAACTCTTGTTATCATGTAGGTGCATATTGAGTGAGGGAACGCCCGAAGTAATGCAGGTCTGAGACCGTGCATGGATATGATGCTGACAAACAAAGAAACGTAATCACCATGTACCGGGATTCGAACCTACGATCCTGTTTCTGGCATGTCTAAGGGGCGCAACTCATGACATGGTATTACAACGTCTTAGACAGGTGTGCCCCCTGAACCCCCTATAGCAGCCCAGGAACCGGGAAACCTGATACAGGAGGTATTGAACAGAAACATGTACCAGAATATACCATGTTCATGAATTATGCCATGTCCATACAGCCTGCTCTCATTGCACTGTGTGTTTGTTTTCAGGTTTTTTATACCCTGTGGCTGTGGAAAATACGTGCGTGGAAGCTTGCAGTGATCGCTTCATTGGCAAATGGTAGCAAGATCTAAGCTGACATACAAGAATTCGGAGACAGCAGAGCAAGTCCGATAAGTGAATTAATCGATGTATTAGATTTCTCTGCGCTATATCTTGAATCATTGTGTTAGATCTTTCAGCGCAAAAGAAGAAACCAATATGTTGTATTCTTCTGCAATACATATTTAATCAATGCGTTACATATATCGCCTCTCTATATTGAAACAATGTAAGATGATTCGGTGCTAAATATTAAATCAATATGTTGGATTCTTCGGCAATACATATTGAATCAATATGTGAGATAGGGAAGATATTTTATGGATGTCAACTTCTTATTATGAGGAACACAACGTTTCGGAGAATATACTTCACCCTTCATCACCTGAATAAATGCTCTGAAGCATAGAGCAATAAAGAAGTTGACAGCCACTTCTCTTCCTTATGTGTATCACTTCTAAATGTCATTCAAAGACTTAATGTGTGGGATGTTTCGCCGCTATATAGTGAATCAGTGTGTCAGATGTTTTGGCGCTATATATTGTATAAGTGTGTCAGATATTTCGGCGCTATATGGTGAATCAGTGTGTCAGATGTTTAGGCGCAAAATAGTGAATCAATGTGTCAGATGTTTTGGCGCTATATTGTGAATCAGTGTGTCAGATGTTTCGCCGCTATGTAGTGAATCAGTGTGTCAGATGTTTTGGCGCTATATTGTGAATCAGTGTGTCAGATGTTTGGGCGCAATGTAGTGAATCAGTGTGTCAGATGTTTTGGCGCTATGTAGTGAATTAGTGTGTCAGATTGTTTGACGCAATATAAGGAATCAGTGTGTCAGTTTGCTTGGCGCAAACTATCACGAAACTAACGGAGAACACCAGCATGTGTAATTGCTTGTGTTTTTACCCGATACGTGCAGTGATATGTATCTTTTTCAATTAATCAGCAGGCCTTACTCATGTCTAATAAGTTGCATGTTCACCATTTGTTTAAAAAAACAACCAAAACCATTATTTTAAAATAAATTGCCAAAGAAAACTGTTTGGCAAATGTTGTATTGAAGAACCATCAAATATATTTCTGATACAATCAGTTGAACGCCACACATATCCAAACAATTCCACATCTATCCACAACTTCCCTCGATTGTCCTGCTCACACACACCAGTATCACCAGTACCACAAACGATTGAGTGAGTGAGTGAGTTATGCGTGTTTTAAGCTTTTAGCTATATACCAGCAACAGAACCATCCCGATAAGAACATAAATCTAAACGTCTTCCTTTACATAGCAACCACAGTTCTTAATTACAGTGCTCCGATTTGTAAATAGTTTCAATACTAAATTGTAATGAAAACTTGAATGAATACCAGCTTATTAAACAATTATATAATGTGTAGTAGTGAAAGACCTTCGATGACTATATAACTGATATTCATATACTGAAAAACAATTAGTATCAATAAACTCATTGTTTCACGTGACTGTGCCAGTGAAAATTAGAAATTAGGACGCTGCACTGACACACACTGCTCGATGACATATTGTGTCGTAAATTATCTTAGTGGCTAAATTTGAATAAACAAACATTGCTATTGCAAATGCATTCTTGAATAATGAATACAATAGAACCACAGCCGCTGCAGCTAATTTTCTCCACCAAGTATTTGGACATTAGGGAAAAGAATGCATTCACTATCTCTCTGTCTCTCCTGATAAACTAGCCACTCGCTACATGTCAGCAGATGGCACAATGTCGTGGCCAAAATTGGAACTTATATGGTTGTTGCACAATGAGGGCTCATATCGCGATATCAATATGCAAAGATTAACACATTCGGGGCACCGGTTGCCCAGTCTTCTACAGTGCCGCATATAGTCCTGCACCATGACCGTGGAACATATTTATTTTATGAAAATATAATAATCTAGAAATGCATACAAAAGCAAGTCTAGTCAGCTCAAACTAGCTCTATTCCACAGCATAGGGAATTTTTTTATATTTTTAGAGTAAAAAAGGATATTGTGTAATATAAGATTTCAGAGACTAAATGTTAGTCTATGCCGCATACTGCCCGTGGCCATGCCAGAATCCTACTACCGGGGTTCTATTCGCCCTCATTAAGGTCC